TGTGTATACACGTGTGTGTGTGTGTGTATACACGTGTGTGTGTGTGTATATACACGTGTGTGTGTGCGTACGTACGTGTGTGTGCGTACGTACGCGTGTGCGTGCGTACGTATGTATGTATGTATGTGTGTATGTGTATATATGTGTGTGTGTATATGTGTATATATATATATATATGTATGTATGTATGTATGTATATATATATATATATATGTATGTATGTATGTATGTATGTATGTATGTATATATGTATATATATATGTATATATATATATATATATGTGTGTGTGTGACAGTTTTATTCATGGCTCAAATATATTATGATTTCTATGTTGTTGTTAGTTGATTCAGTTGCCTCTCATTGACTCTTTTTTATTTTCATGGATCAAGTTTGGCACAGTCGGGACATACTGTTCATGAGATGAATTCTTTATGCTTTGACAGAGGGAACTCCGTTCGCTGGTGGCGTTTTCCGAATGCGTCTGGTCCTCGGGAAGGACTTCCCTGCGGTTCCACCCAAGGGGTATTTCCTGACCAAGATTTTTCACCCCAATGTGGGTCACAAGGGAGAGATCTGTGTCAACGTGCTGAAGAGGGACTGGAAGGCAGAGCTCGGCCTCAGACATGTCTTACTTGTAAGCAGAACCATCAGTCTTTGTGAATGTCAGCCGTGTTGCCGTCGCCACGTTTTAATCTCCTTTTTATTTCCCCACAGACAATCAAGTGTCTTCTCATCCATCCGAATCCAGAGTCGGCTCTGAACGAAGAGGCCGGCCGTTTGCTGTTAGAGGACTATGCAGAATACGAGTCCCGCGCTCGCCTGCTCACAGAGATCCACGCCATGGGCGGGTCCTCTGGGGAACCTCAGGACCCTAATGACGGCCCACAGCCGAAGAAGCACGCGGGCGACCCCATGAAGAGAGCGGGGCCCAGTGCGGCAGCGGTGCCAGCGGCTCTGGGTAACGGGGCCAATGGAGCCAGTACCACCAGCAGCAATAGCAACAGTAGTAGTAGCACTAATGTAGCAGGGAAAAAGAAAGCCGATAAAAAGCGTGCATTGAGGCGACTTTAATACCTCCACGGAATTCTCAGTGTGCGTGTGTACGTTTGTGAGCGAGAGAGTGTGTAAATATAAATATTGGAAGTGTGCTGACAATGTTTTTGTTCCCTTTTTTTTTTTTTTTTTTTTTTTTTTTTTTTTTTTCTGACTCTTTCTACCACCTATCCAGACTGTCTACTTTGTACTCACACCTTAACTTCTGTTTTGCCTGCAGTTTCTCCTGTCGGCATAACATGTTTGTTAATTATTCCCATACCCGAACACGCGATGATGAAATGTTTCTTCCTCTTTTTAAAGGAAAGACAACACCTGCACTGCGGAGATCATGCCATCCGCTGTATGTTTGCTCTGGGCCTATAGTGTGAATCAGTAAGACAGGGAATGGGATTCACATGACCTCTAATGTCTGTCCATTAATAATGAGACATAACTGCTATTGTGTCGGGCTTGGTATCGGCTCTCTTTAAAGTGTTTCCTGGTCAATGCTGCTGTGATGGTACTGTGTACTGCTCAGCCAGGCTCACTCGTGAGTCCACGCCAGGACGTTACTTTAATCAAAGTCAGGTCTTCAAATTAAACACAGAAATAATGGATAGAAGTTGCTAAACAATTGTGCAAGAAGTCGGTGGGTTCACTATTGGGATAGAAATATTGTAAATGTCACACAAAATTGTAACATCTTTTTAAATAGTATTTTTCATAATGTAATCTGAATGACGTAACGGTAAAGAGCTGGCAGTGGAGTATAAGAGGTCTGTTATGTTTTTCATGGAATCTCAAACCCTTTTTAACGTTTTTTTTGTTTTTTTTCTAAAACTGTTTCACTGTTCAGTATTTACAAAAGTTGTTTATAATTGACATGTTCATATTCACCTGTCTTGTGGTTGTGTGTGAAGACCTAGATCAGTGACTGAGGGAACAGGGTAGTTTGCAAGAATACTTGATTAAAAATGAATTATCTAATCTCTGTATTAAGCATACAGTGGTGTGACTCTCTTAAACCACCCTGCTTCCCTACAAAGCGGTATGTGCTCTCAGATACCCGGCTCTGCGACCAGCTACGTGGGTACCTGAGAAGACATCTGTAGTGAAAACGTCCAGGTTTGATAGAATTTGTCTCCCCACCCGTTTCACTGGCAGGCAGGGTTTCTCTTTGTACTAAATGCATGCCGGGCCTACATTTCCCAAGGAAACACACTGAAGCGCTGTCTTAATTAGGATGGAAAATGTGCCTCTGAATCTCCTGTCATTGTGCAGACTGTTGGCTGGATATTTTGTGTCCATTTTAAATTATTTAAATTAATAAAACATTGAAATACAAAAAGTGAAATGAAAAATGACTAATATTTGCTCTATTATTTGGAGTTCTGTTGATAATTTACTGTGGGGAAATCTTTAACTGTCTCTGTATAGCTGCTGAGAATAGATACGAGCCTCTTGTTTTTACTGCTCAGCGATGTACAATACCACTCTTATTATATTTGTATCCTGTTCTGCTGACGGAATAACCATTATGAGGAAATCAGTAATTGCATCCACCCCAGCAAACCAGTGAGTGAAAGTGCACCCGGTAGAGCGTCACTGGACCATCTAATGAAGGGCTCCACTAGCCTCTGCTGCAGACATGCAGCAGCCCACCCACCTGTGCAGAAATAGCTGCCTGCCATGCAGGTAATTATCAGGCCCCTCTTAGACACCTGAGGGTCCACATAACCCTTTACACCTTTCGTAAGCCCTGTTTTGGAAGTGCGTACACCTCCTTCCCCATCTGGTATCTACCTCAATAGCATTCTCTTAAAATGATATGAGTCAGATGTAAAGGGTATGAGTGTGATGGTTTGTCCTGTGTCACATACAGTGAAATGGTATTCATTGTGATTCATCCTGAGGTCTGATGTGTGATCACTAAGTTCCTCAGTTAACATCATTCATGTGCTGTCGACGATGTGAAGATCGTGAGGAGGCAGGTCCTGTGTGTGACGTTGGCAGGAGGCCAAACGAGCCAACTTCCTGTCTTACATCAAAAACACATCTCCATCACTCTTCCCTTAACGTGTTGTACATATTTCCAGCCCTCCCTGCTTGTCTCAAACTTTTGAGAAATCTCTGAATTACCAATATGCAGGTCCGGGTCTAATGGACAGTTTTGTTCACGCATCAGTGTTGGAGCTTTTGCGCTGATCCTCTCCCCTTCCCCGTTTTCATAGCTTTCATAATTGCCACCAACATAATGACACAGTTGCTGTGGCAACCATCTCTCTCTCTCTATCTCCATTTCTCTCTCTCTCTCATTCACACACACAAAGAAACACACACTTTGGATTCTGGAGGTCTTCCACTGAATTTACCGGCTGCTTTAATTTAGCAAATTTCCCCCTGTTGATATATTTATATATTTAGTCTCAACCCAGCATTTTACTTTTATCAAAGAACAGTAGCTACATTCCTGACTGGTATTTTTTTTCTTTCCCAGAGCCATGTAAATGTCGGTGTTCAGGGTCATTGAATTAAAGAGGCAAATTAAATGGAGGGGAATAAAGATGAACGCCACTAGTTGAATGGGCCTAATGACCATCAGAGCCGAGCAGCGCGGAGTTGAGAGTCTCATCAGCACCAGTCTGAGCGACCAATCACAGCGCTCCCCCACCGGCGGACCTCCGTGAAGCCAGTCGCAGTTAGGTGGTGTAACCTATCTCGCTTGGAAATTATGAAGCGAACCAGCTCCAGTCGATTGTAGATGGAGAAAAGTTAAATTGGGGGATTTTCTTTTTCCAGATGACGCGTTTGTCATTTTGAGCTCCTGAATTTACTGCGTGCTCTCCAGAATAGTTGCACTATAACTTGTGCTCTTCGAGAAACGGGATTTTTTTTTCTATAGTGATAGTTGAATTGCTTTGTCACATGTATCAGAAAATTTAAGAACATCTCGCGCCACTGACTCTCTCTTTCTCTCTTTCTATCTTGCTTGAGTTTTTCCTCCCCTCTTTTTGCCGTGATGATGGATTATCAATAGCCTGATGGGGACACGAAAACAACGACTGAGATCTGCAGCACTTGTGGAAGAAACGTTTAATACAGGTGACGGATCCAGCAACAGTTCAAGCTGTCCTGATCATCCTCTGCCACAATAACAGGCTGCCATCTGAGAAACGCTACAGAGATACAGTGCGCAGGCTCCCCCAGCGCTGTTCTCCAGCATCAAACCCCACAGCAGCGCACAGGTAAGACACGACATTATGCACCTTTTATTCATGCAACACCAATTACCGAATTACCCGCAGAAACTGTTCGATACCTTGTGTTTCTGTCTGTATGAAGAATGTGTTAGGCAATTTGTTTGCACGCGTTAGCTGTGCTGGAGGCTGTCAAACAAAAAAACATTTGGATGAAAGCTGCGCCATAAAAACATAATTACGCTTTACGCTTCATGACGTGCCTTTCATCATTTAAACACTTTATTCGATAGCACATTGCGATGTACTGAACATTTTGTTACTAAGACTGACACACCGACACATCCAGCCGGACTACACACACAAACACACGCACCGGCACGGATACACCCACACACTCTTAGCCTTCTGATGCATGCAAGTCATTTCCATTTCCCGCATGCTTGTTCATTGCAAGTTGCAACTTATTAACCGAATGAAGGATTTTCAGGTTTTTTTCCCCTGAAGTGTCGATGACCAAATGCAAAGTCATTGCGCAGCATATATTTGCGCAGCATATATTTGACTGATAAGACTAAAGCGGCGCTGCTGCTTTCACTGTAATTAAATGTATTTTGCATCAACATGACTTGAATTAAGGGTTTTTCCCCTTCATTGATACGCATTTCAGTGCGTTTTTGCAACAGCGTGTCTAAAGAAAAAAAAGGGGCCATTTTGTTTCATTTCCAACAACCTGTTGAAATTGTTGCATGCCCAGCCGTCTGCAACCAGCAATGAAAGTAAGGGGAGCCGTTTGGCTTATTTGCGTTGATACAATTGCTTGCAATAAAATAAATCGGTGGAAACGGTTTGTTTAACCTCCAGTGGCCATGTAACTCAGGAATGCATCTTCACAGTTGTGAATGTGTTGCCCTTCACCCTTCAGTTCCCATCCTCTCTACTGCATTGCTTCAGCAGCACAATATAGAGATACTGACAGGAAAACATCTGCTTCTATTGTATGTTGAGTCACTTTGCTGGGAAAATTTGACATTGGACAATTCACGCTTTTGGGTGCAGGAGGTCTGAACCTGCATGTTTTTAATTCTTGTAAGTGCACATTCATTGGGGAGTGGTTCGGACATGTTGGCCAGAAAATCCTCATTAAGTGAGCAGAAAAGAAATCAGGTAATGGAAGTTGAGCAGCGGTGTCATCTTGTCGAGCAGGAGACGGGCACATGTGACTTTGAAATCTGGTTTGGCTAATGGGTGTAGATTGGATTCTGCCTCCCTTCTCTTTCACTGCCTCTTTCACTCACACACAGACAGAACTGCAGTGCTATTCTGAGAGAGTTAGCGGCCTCAACCCACGCACAGAATCTGAGAAAGAGAGAAAGGCAGAACGAGGGAGAATAGAGGAGAAGGAGGGAGCAAAAGGAATAAAGGAGAGAGAGAAAGAGACTGACAAGGAAGGTTTAAAGAATTCCTACTATATTCTCTCACATGCACAGAAAGCCTTTTTACAGTTTCACATTTCTACCCCTTTAACTGCTCCAACAGCAGCTGATTTACAGTCTCGATTAGCACTCTTCTTGTGCGTGGCGTTGACTGCATTTGCAGATCTGTTTGGTGGTGCTGTTTGTGTGATGTGCTATGTTGTATTGGTAAGTGCTGGGAGAAATGTACTTGATTCTGTGCCACCCACACACCGCCCTCCCACTCATGGTCGTCTCTGCATCTATACCTCTGGCTCTTCCCGCTCGCCACAATCTCTTTGCTCATTTAAATCCTGCATTTATCCCTCTGCTCTCGTTCTCTCGTTCTCACATCATTGGCTTCTCAGGAGCTCCCGCGACCAAACAGGCACACTGACACACACTCGGCCTCTCACGATGGCCACAACGCAATTAATAAAAAATGTCTGGATTGTGTCAGTGCAGGGCGTCTTTCTAATCACGCCTCTCGTTTGTCTTGCAGCGGACACATTCCAGGTCGGTCGACGTGTAAACTTGAAGAAAATTCTGGAAATCAAGCAGAAGATTTAGAGAAAAGAGGGACTCTTTTGAAACGTTAGTCGGTCGGAGAACTGCTGCCTTTGTGTCTCTTGTTCTTCTTCCTCTGAACTCTCCTCAGAAGGTCAGAGGAGCATGTAACCGAAACAAGCGGAGCCCTCGGTGATCTCAGCATTCTGTCTCCCCCATCTGTGCCTACATTCTCCGCTACAGATAGGGACATTTTGATAATTACATGTAATTATAATTTCTGTGGGAGACAGATCTGCCTCTGTCTATTATTGCCAACACCTCCAACACAATAACTTCACACATTTACATATTTCTCAACAAAAGTGATATTCTTTGAACCTCGGAGACAAATCAGGAATAATTTTACTTGGAGAGACATGTCACATGGAGACGCAATGTGCCATTCAGTTCACATCTAATTAGTGATACTGTTCAATGACGGGTAACTTTTTGTGCCTAAAAGCTGAATAGAGAGCATTTAAAATCCATGACGTTTGCCTCATTTTGCAGTGCATTTCACAGGCTGGGAGTCAGTTCCTTGGTTTATGCTTACTCTTATTTTTCAGCTGTTACAGTCTTCTAGCACTTAAGCTGAGCCTCCCCCATTATCAACCCCAGCCCAATCACAGTTACAGTCCGTGCCAGACAACTACGGATGCACATAAATCCAACGCTAGAAAAGATTGAGATAAAGTACACGGCGTATCTATAGATGTGACGAGTGCCTATAGAACAAGTTCACATGTAGATATGTCCCTGCTCTAGAGAAAGCAGGCATGACTAATGAACAGTTTTGTCTGTTAATCCCATTTGATTGTCTACAATGCCGATGAACACAAAATATATGAAAAGTATTCTAGATTTCATACATATTTTCAGAAAAGAATTGCTTACAGCTTATATAAGTGACATTTCTGAATGTATGTAGTGCCAGACTAAGATTCAGGAATGAACAAAACAGATAAAACTGTTTACATTTGATAAAACACAGGCCATAGACTATTGTTCAAGTGCCATGATCAGCACAGGAATGTATAGGACTGCCATATTTTATTGAAAATCCTTGCTTCTAATTTTTACTGGCCTTTGTGGTTTCAAAAATGTATTCCATCCAGGGGTGCGTCAGCTATTTGTCCTTTTGTTCTGTGTGAGGTGAAGCGTAGAACAAGGCATTAAGCACTAAAAGCATGAAGATTGTTTTTTTCAATCTGTCCTTTTTTCAAAGCTGCATCAATTTTAGTGTTCTTGGGAGGGCAACAGATGAAGTCATTACACATTCAGAGTTCCTTTCTATCAGTAAATTAAAACCATTTTAATACCATTAATGACAACTATTGAAACCTACCAACTGTTTTTGATAGTGTTAGACCTTTTGATTTGGAATGTTCCTGACCTTTTCTAATATTACACCATAGAAATACTCAGTTTCTGACAAAAACAAAAACAAAACAGGCTTCAAATTTCATCATCCAACATTGCTGAATGAAACTACGATACATCATCAATATCCAGTAGGTTGTTCATGCTACTTGATTATTTCACATGCCATTTTAGTGGGTTAAACTGCAAAAGCGGATACAGCGGTGTAACTGCATTGACTCAACAACAGAAAATAGATCTCTTAGTCATGTAAAAATGACGCCCACCACCAATCTCCTAGTCCTCGCTGTCTCCCTGCTCTCCCTCCTTACTGCCCAAGTCACCACTGTTGCGGAGACCTCTCCGTCCCCCCCATCTCAGCAAATAGACCGCTCACAGAGGCCTTTCACCGCGGAGCCCAAGGCTAGCCCCAGCCCCCCATTCCTTCTCCTCGCCATGCAGGTCAAAATCAGACCGGCAGCTCGCCAAGGCAGGACCAAAACCCCCGAGAAACTTCCGGAAACCTCCGATGGAGTTCTTGAGACGCCTCCAAGACCCCTTGCCCAGGTCATGTTCCCCAAGAATGTGACTTCATCAGAGGCCCTCGCACCTCCCTTAGGCGCCGCCCAGGTAGAGCCCATTAAACCCCGCCTGATCGACATATGGATGGATGGATGTCGGGGTTATTATGACGTCATGGGACAGTTTGACAGCGCTTTCAACTGCTCCAAGGACAGCTTCGTGTTTTGCTGTGGAACCTGCCACTACCGCTTCTGCTGCCCAGATCGCACCCGGCAACTGGAGCAGCACATCTGTACAAACTATGACTCTCCGGACTGGGCCAAGCCACAGACAGACGCCATGATGTTATCAGATGATTTTGGTCCTGACCCGGACTTTGATCCGCTGAAGCAGCAGAGCCACAACACGGGCTTCGTCATCGGAGGCGTGATCGTTTTCATGGTGGCTGTTGCCGTGGGCATCAAGGTGGTCTTCAACAAGGTGCAACAGGAAGCCAACCAAAGGGACCTAAATATGCCCAGGTGAGGCTTTGAAAAATATTTTTCCATCACCTCTCACTGCTGGATTTGTTACTTCCATTTATGTATGAATACTGTAATGAAATTAGGTCTTCGGGACTCCACAAAAGGCCCACATTCCTCATCCTGGGCTCAGAATGATGTTGTTAGTCATCAGATGAAACATATTTGATCTTCATCGAGTGGCTGCTGCAGATTCCTCTAGGCTTCATATCTAATATTGCCCGTAATCTTGGCAATAAAGATTTGCATTTAGATTTTGTATAGGTTGCAGTTTTCTATCTTGGGGTACAGTGGTGGAGGACGACAGTTGTCGACTTATATAGAGCGATAGGTTGATCCTTTAAAGAATGGTAATGATTAATAGAGTATTGTCTTCTAATTCTGCTTATTCAAGCACAGTTACAGGTTAATCATTGTACACAAATTAATAACCAAACAATTGGTGTTTATGAAGAAGATTTTAATACCGTATACATCTCATATAACAAATATGAGATTGATATTTTCATAAATTTATCTCAAATTATTATCCTCACATGAATATGATCGATCACTTACCCACCAATCCAATGTCCGAAACCGATACCCTGTAAACAATATTGATAATGATAAATATGAAAAATCACTCATCACAAAACATAGACTGCGTGGCATAACTTCATGAATTGGATAGTCAGCCATTAGCCAATAGTTTATTGTCTATTTCATCTTGTGTTTCCCTTTTTTAAATTTATTTTATTACATCATTAGAGCCCTGGTCGATATGTTGCGGCACCAGTCGAGCCCAGTCCAGCAGGATGAGAGAAACAACAGCGTGGCTTTGGCTGTAGCGGACACACAGGGGACACTGGGGAGACCTCCGAAAAATCTTTATGCCCCAGGACAGCCCAACAAGGACAACAGATGTGAGAGTTCAGGTTATTTTAAAGCATTAGTGAATAGCACAATCAGAGCCCCAACCAGAACTTTGTAACAGCATCCTCTGTGTGCTGGGGCACATCGTGTTTGTAGCCATTATGGAAGAAACAGAACAGGAATCTGACATCTTTAAAATCTGTATGCTTTATATGAAGATGGTGAGAAGCACTGTGCATGTGAGATGACGTGAAGGTGAATTGATGCAAAAATCATCTTTGTACGTATGTTAAAGGACCATTGAACTGGAAACTGCCTGACATCCATTTTGAGCTGATTACCTTATGTTCTTCTTGCAGTGGGCAATTTGCAACACAATTTCATCCACTCATCAGGCACCAGCCCCAAACACACCGCAACTATCGGTAAGGCAGCTGGTGAAAGCCGGGCTCCTCTGTGAATTACATGTAATCACCACGATGCTTCATTTACTTTGTTCAGTTTCATTTAAGCTCAACAGTAGACTCATTCATCCCAACAATAATAATGATTGTCAGAGCTTTGGTTGCTTGTGTTGAAAGCAAGTTAAAATCTGTCTGTGAATGTTAGCAGATTCTCACACGGCTAAGTGCAGTGCGCTACCAGAGGAGCAAATCTCATTTAACACACAGTTGTTTTCCCGCTGTGGTCCCTGTAGAACGCACCCCTCGAATGAACAACGCTCAGCTGCCAGCTGGAGGCACCCTGCTTTCCAATAAACACAACAACACCAAATCCCAGCCGGCCTTCCACCACTCCCTGCACAACCTGGCTCAGCTGCCGCCCTCCTATGAGAGTGCCACCAAGCCTGAGCTCAACAGATATTCCTCGCTCAAACGCCTCGGTAAGTACCTTCATGTTACGAGAAATTAGGACAAATGTACCAGTCTGTCTGCCCCTCTCTTCCCTCGCAGCTGTTCCGCGAGCACTGAAGCACGGTGACATTCTTGACACCAGGGCACAAAGTGCAGGATGCATCATTATGTGCTGATGCTATTTACTGTGGTGATAAACAATTCAGAGAAATTTTGTTTGGCTTCCAGAGAAAGGTCTTGATGAGTACTCGTCTGGTTACTGCACCACCAAGAGACGGCCTCACACAGCCCAGCCGGCTCTCCAGTCTTCTCAGCACCACCTCCACTGGGGTGGAGACTACACCCTCAGTGGTAGAGGAACCCTCCCCAGGCATGCAGTCCGTCCCTGGATCCCGCCGCCACCTTCTGGCATGCCTGCGTCACCAACCCCCAACCCTTACCCTCTGGATCCCCCGGAGCCCCAGTACAACCCTAATTATGACACTCTCTCCAAGACCGCGAGGAAAGCTAAAGCCTCTGACCAGCTGCTCAACATGGGTGACGTCCCTGGCAACACAGGAACACTGTCCAGGTTGTCCAAGAACCAGCAACACCAGTACTACAAAGCCATGGTTGCCTCCAATAAGAACTTCAACACGCAGACCCTCACCAGGAAGACCCAGGAAAGGCAGGACAGGCAGGACAGGCAGGATAGGCAGGATAGGCAGGACAGGCAGGACAGGCAGGATAGGCAGGACAGGCAGGACAGACAGGACAGGCAGGACAGACAGGAACGGTTGCTCATGTCCCCGGACCATTTGGAGGAAAGGATGGGGGTCGGCGGGATGGGGGCCGGCGGGATGGGGGTTGCAGATCCATACGCCCACACAGGAGGGATTGTCCCCACGCTGCCTCGCCAGCAGAAGGCCCAGTCACAGCAGAACGTCTGCGCCACGCCCTCCCTCGACCGACACCACATGATCAAGATGAACTCTCACCCCACGTCTGGACGAGAGCAGGAGAGGAGCACGGCCATGACGGGGCACATGAGCGGGGGCATGGGCTGGGCGGGGGAGCCGCCCGCGCAGGGGGTAGTCATGGGAACGGGAACACTAGGGGGCCACAGCGCCAGAAGGATGGCTTTTGCAGCGAAACGGCAGAACACCATTGAGCAGCTACATTTCATACCGGGAGGGGGCGGTGGGGGGTCGGCAGGAAGCGGAGGAGGGAGTCAGGGCATTAGGACGGGGAGTAAAAATGAGGTGACGGTGTGAGGTTTGTGCCTAATGTAGAGTTTACCCCTCATCAAAGATATGGGACTAGATCACCCTTCTGCATTTAACTATTAGATATTCAACTACAAGAAATAAAACTAGAAGTATAAAGTATAGTAACAGTATAACGTGTTTAGGCTATTGAAATTAGTGTTACCTTGTAATTAAATAGCTTAAATATGATTAGTTAATTAAAAATCTAGATGGGGAATATCTGTTCCAATTATGTAATAGCCTACATCAGCCATATTTTGTAACAAAATTTGCCATATTGCCATATACAGCGGTGCCATTACTGTAGATAGACTGACTGGAAGGGTGAAACAAAACCAACAGAAGTGTCGTTTATAATTTAGTTTTTATATTTTGCAAAAAGTACTCAGGAGCCATATTAGATAGGGAACAAGACGATATATATACATATATATATATATATATATATATATGTATATATACATATATATACTGTACGTATATATACATATATACGTATATATGTATATATACATATTTATACGTATATATACATATATATAGAGAGAGAGGTTGATGAAGAGGAGGAACATCTGGAATATTGTATCACAGAATTCAATACAGAATTGAGCCAACTACCTGCTGGACTGTCAGCCTATTCAGCTCTTGCCGACAATGATTTATAAAACTCAACCTCACGGGGGAGAAGCCCGGTGGACCAGATGAGTGTGAATAAACCGTGTGCCTGGTGAGGGATTTTGGAGATCTGACACCTGAACCTCATCACAGGGAGAAAGAACGGATTTTTGTTGCTTCCCATGTGAATGAGTGGACGGGGTGGGGGCTGTTTCTTACTGGGACACTGCAGCCTTGGCAGGATTTGAAACCGCGGACGTACCCACACTACCAATCTGACGCCTGGGTTGCCTAGTTTTCCATGTGACCTTAGATCCAAACCCCCAGAGGGACTCACACACTGATCACTGTTACACTACAGGAGTGTAAACTGATGTTAGAGTACGTTATGGGTGAGTTCCCCTAATGTTCCCATCTCAAGATCAGGACCTAACTGTAAAAACGATGGACTACCAAATAATATAGAGCCATCTGTCATGTTATTACAAAAATATCTTGACACAAACACAGACGAGTCAAGAGACGCATGTGTTCAGTTTACCAATAAAACGACAACTTGCTTTACTGCAGGTTGTGAACGAAGAGCAAAGGTTTTTCTACAGAGCACAAATGAATAGACCGTGATGCAGAGATTGCACTTACACAACTGTCCTTCAAAGCCATTTATGGAGATACAAAGAAAATACCATAGAGGAAGCTGGTCTGACAATCACCATTTTATTATTCTCACCAGGTGACAAATTATACAAGTCGGTGATATTTTGTACAGTCAAAGGATTGGCTTCAGAGCAAGCCAAAAAAACCTCTGAGTCAGGAGAGAAAGGGCGACCTGAGGCCTTCTCCTGCGTGGCTCAATATGGCGTAAGAGACTCGGATGATTAGGAAGCCCTCCCCATCCTCAAGAGGAAGAACTTGCTGTATCATAACGCACTTCAGCCAGTTATAAAAACAACAAAAATAAAAGAAAAAAAATCTTCATCAATAACAACGCTTATCAATACTAAGGGCTATCCTATCCTATATACTGTAGTATGTGATATCTGTGGTCCATATAAAATGCTATCTCTTTTTCTTGATTTTGTGTTGATATTGTCATGGTGTATTCAGTATTAATGTGTACAAAAAACAAGAGCAATTTAAGCACAGTTCATAGAGAAACATAGAGACAAAAAAAAACTTTGCACAAATCTATCCCCTGTTATTTGCACCAGATACAGACATACTGTGTATCGTGTCCTCAAGGTTTACATTCTGTACAAGCACGGCCGACATTGTGACTGATCAATTGAAGGTATTGTATAGAGAGGATTTTTTAAAACATGAAATCGGAGATAATTACGCAGATCAATGAAGGAACTTGTTACTGCTTGGTTTCTGTTCAGTCATGTGAAAAGGTACAGAGAAGAAATACTGACAAACAGGAACACAGATTTCATTTGGACAATCTTCCTTACACACAGTGCTAAATGTAGTTGTTATGAATATGATGGAGTGTTATTATTAATGATTATTATAACTGTTATGGTTATTATTAACAATTATCTTATAATGTGATGTTCTTTTACTTGGTGGGATTTAAGTGTTTATTGTTTTTAGATAACTAGCATTCTCACGACTAGTTGGTTTTTTCATACATCTGGTCATAAATTCAAGTTTTTAAAAACATTCTGAATCTTGATGCATGCCAGCTCCATTTCATTGAGAGGCAGTTACAGTATGCCTGGATTTGAAGGCCATCAATGCTTATATGGCCAATTTTCCAGCTGTATGTACTGTGCCTAGACATCGGCCTTATGACTTCTTGATCTCAAGTGATTACTTAGGTTTCCACTCGGGTACAAAAATATCTATTGAAAAAATCTGCCGCCTTCTAAACGTATGTGTAGATAACGGTGTTTTAACAACCAGTGAGGGATAGATGTGTTTGGGACGGGCCAGAAGTTGTTAAACCAGACCGGAGGCGGTCTGTTGTCTCAACTGCAGCAGCCTGACCCAATAACATATTATGGGTTGTATACACTAAACCCATGATGCCATAATGTATGTGTTTTTGGATGAATGTTTACCGGGTGGAGAAAAACAAAGGTCTAATGGAAACCTGAATGCTTTGAGTGTCTTTTTCAGGGAAATAGGACAGGTGACATACAGTAGTATTAGATTTTTTTAATAGAGCCACAAAAGGTCTGTAGCAAAGTCTGTAATATCTCACAAGCCATATCTATCGAAACTCATAATCACAATTTTATAAATGGTTAATCTAATTTGTGAAAGTATTGTATTTTGTATAGCTAGTACAATCAGAATATTTTGAGTGATCTCTTCAACATTAATTTGAGGATTCGACAAATTATGTGTTAGTATTTAATGAGTTGTACAGTGCCAAATTCATAACATTTTGTTGTCTTTCTATTGTCATAGCCTCCTACACAGCTACAGGGGATATTTATTTTTCACAACTAAGAACTCACAGACAGGCAAGTCAGCTAAAAAGCTGAGGAAGAAATGAATGAATATGGTGTGTGTTTTTAACATTATGAATTCATTTAGAGAGAGGATGGTTAACGGCCACCTGAAATGTAAAGCAGTATTAACAGTAAATGGTATGGACAGGGATTGTGTCCATTAATGAAATTCATGGATTTATTTTCATGCCTATATATTTCAAAACAACCCTTTTCTTATTTTTCAATGCATTGCGCCCCTTGGATACGACAGTGACTCTCAAAGAATTTGTATAATAAAGTTGATGGAAAAAAAGGTTTGTTATTTATTATAGAGTGTAAGTTTCTTGCATTAATGTTCTTGAATTATTATTTTTATTATTATTATGAATGTTATAATAATAAATAATAACCAAGGCACTGTTTTCTGTCATTCAGTGATATATTCTTATCTTAGTATGGAATATTTTAAAGATATTCCTCAACCATTTGGCCTCTCACACTCTTTTCTTAAAGAATCAAACATTTAGCCACATTGCACCTATACCTTGCAACAATATGAATACCAGTAAACTGGGCTGTATGCCTTACAGTTACTGCACATGGAGGAGTAGACCCCCAAGTGCTTGGTTGCTCACACAAATCTATCTACAATTTAGCAATAGATCAGACTTTAGTAAGACTTCTATGTTCATTGTTTGCAATTCAGGAAAATCTTAAGTAGGACTAATTTGATGTGTAATCTAGTTAAAGTGAGACTCTGTAATAAAACACATGGCAAGCCAATGAGCTAGGCCTACTTCTCTGTTTCAGCAGAAATCTATGTTTTCTGGATAGAATTTAGCTCACATCGACGTTTTCAGTGAGGAAGTATTTGGCTCCTCTACTTAAATAAAAGTAGCAAGCTGCAAAATAAAAATACTTGATTAAAAGTAAAAGTCCTGCAGTGAAATATTAAGTCGTATGAGCGAAATGCACTTAAAGCATCAAAAGCTATTAAAAGTATTCATGAAGCAGAAAATGTGGTTATTATTACTGGCGCATTCATGTGTAAGTAGCTGTTGAAGCTAAAGATGCAGCTAGTTTCACAGTTTTATATATATAGGCTGTTAAGCAGTTTAATCTACACTTGTCTTAATCTGTAACAAGTAGAAAGTAAAATATTTCTTGTGATTTACTGTGGAGTAGAAATATTAATTAGCACAAAATGGAAATACATAAATAAAGTACAAGCACCTCAAATGTGTACTTAGGTATAGCAGTGGTGTAAGTTTTGAGACCAGTGGCTTGATCAGAGACAATATTGAGATTCTAAAATAATCACAAGACAAATTAATGTTTTACAAGGGGTCAAACCAGAAGCAACGGCTCTATATTAACAAAAAGCCATTAGTCTTCAGTATGTTAGTGAGCACACAGAGTGGCTCTATGATACAATATCTCACATCAGGATGTGAGATATTGTATAAGCCACATTAGGGCTATACAGTGCCAGTGGGAGTGGGCAACAGTGCTTTTAAATGAAATGAAAAGGCGAAATTTGTCTTCATATAATTCACAGCTCTAGACCATCTGAGTGCGGAGTTATATCATCAGTACCTGCTGGATCTTTAGAGTGAGGTGAGGGCTACGGAGCTCATATTTAAAACCTCCTGTGAATACATTTATTGCACTGAGATGTATGAAGGCTGAAATAAAAGGCCAGACGGTGACATTGTACCGGTAGAGAAATATTTTTTACAGGAGGTACACAAAGGGCATGGAAAATATTATGTTTGATTTAGGCACTGGCTGCCACTGATGCGGTACAATCATTGTAATTTGCACATTTCACCACCAGGAGGTTCAGTAGCTCCTCGGCTCTGTCTGAGACAAAACCTGCACGAAGCCTTCACACAAAATGTCTTTTAATTTATAAGAAAAGCTAATAATCATATTGATCTGGAGTTTGTTGATTTACGGCTGATCACTTTTAAAGTGGTTCAATTGTGTAGATCTGTTTGAGATAGAGGAACAGGAGAGGCCAAGAAGAGATGTCAAGAATAAAACTTCCTTTTTATCTTGAGTGCCTTGAGAAATACATGACTTGTTTTGTTCATTGTCATTACATTATTCTTAACACTCAGAATTATGGATGTGTAGCTATGTGACTGAAAGGCCAATGAAAATGTTTTATCAAGCACTTCTTGTAAATACTACTATATACCCCATATGTTCAAACTATACAGACAAACAATCAAATGGGACTGAGAACAAAGATAAGTATATCCCCTGAATAAGTTGTACTTTGGTAGTAATAATTATCACAATGAATTTATATTATTTATTCACATGCGTACACATTAGACTTTTTATTTACACATGTGAAATATT